TTTGTTGGAGTAGTAAAACATTTTTTCTTTTTTTTTTGGTATCTTTACATAAATACTAAAAATAAAAATCTTGTATATAAAGACATCCACTTACTGATTATCTTTGAGTTTACAAAAAAATTAATGAAGTAAATTTTATATTAAACTAAATGACATTAAAATTTCAATCAAACTATTAAATAAAAATAACTTTTCCAAAATATAAATAAATTTTCAAAAAAATTATAAATAGATAAATTTTCAAAAAAGCTATGGATTCACTTTGACAGGTGCTTGCTGATAGTCAGCATATATGACTGAAATTCACATATGATAAAAGTGTGTGGTCTTAATGTGATAAAATCAAAATGTGTGGTCCTAATGTGATGGAAAACCACTGTATATATATATATATATATATATATATATATATATATATATATATATATATATATATATATATATATATATATATATATATATGTATATATATATATATATATATATATATATATATATATATATATATATACAAATAGTATTGCGTACTAAGGTAAGCAATCTGACGTCATACTGAAATAGCCTGCTGCTAGGGGCTTCAGTACATACATCAACTGATAAATAGCCTGACTCGCAGCGGAGTGCTGCTACATCGACTGAGGGTTTGGGATGGAGAAGCAATCGTTTTATTCATCATTCTTCATTTTTTCTTCTTCTTTTTCGAAAAAAACGGTATAGCCTAAGGTAAGCAGAAAAAGTTAGCAAATGCTTATCAAAACACGCTTTAGTAAGTGTATATATATATATATATATATATATATATATATATATATATATATATATATATATATATATATATATATATATATTTCCACATTATATATATATATATATATATATTTCCAAAAAATATGTTTCGATATATATATATATATTTCTAAAAAATCACGCACGGAAACTCGTATATGTTTTTACTATTATTTCCATAAAAATAAAACTAGCGATCTCCAATTTACTCTCATTTAATTCTAATCAATATAAATATTTTGTAACAAAAAAATAGTAAGAATTAGTAATGTTAACAAAGAATAAATAAAGTTTGAAATGGAATTACGCATGGAACAGAAAAACTTCTATTTTAGTTACTAGATAAATAAACTTTAATTCCTCGGAAAATATAAGTTTCACCGGTATACTTTTTTTTTTAAATAGTATTTTAAGCATCAGTAAAGATTTCCAGAAAGTTACAGGATTGCACTATGAATCATAGAGTCACAGCAATCGTTTAAATGCAGTTTATGAATGATCACGCACGGAAGTCACGCGCAGATGTTGCAAATTTGTCAATTTCATGTAGTTATTTTTATGAAAATAAATTGCTAGTGAGTATTTCAAGTGAAATATTATACTTCTGCGACTCATATTTAATATATTTTCAATGAGAAACGGCAGTCATCAATTATTTCTAGCTAGAGTATGGCGTTTTGAAAATTATTGTATATTTTTCAAAATGTAACAATTTTACTACTCAAAAAAATAAAATTGTAAAAATGTGTATATTTAATTTATTCAGATAGCCTAAAGTATGATAAAAATACTTTTGTTATAATTGTTCTTTAAGAAAATCAAAATAGTATGCATATTGCATAAAGTCCCAGCTTTTAATTGCTAAAACAAAGAAAAATAAAAAATCACGCACAGAAATGGAAATGGCCTATATATATATATATATATATATATATATATATATATATATATATATATATATATATATATATATATATATATATATATATATATATATATATATATATATATATAAATATAGTAAGTTACAATGAATTTTTTGCAAGATAAATTTCATAATTAATATCTTTTTGATTTGCAAGTTTGCTAGATTTTTTTGTTTATTGCTTTTTTGTGCCCAATCAGCTAATTTTTTTCATATATATCTTTTATATCATTTCTTGTTTTTAGTATAAAGTTACATATACTTAATTACAGGGTACAAATTGATTTTTTACAAGAAAATGTTTAAATGACAAGTCTCGTCACTATGATAAGTACTCATGGCATTACTTGGACCTTCACCCTTGCATGTTTTTCCTCAAATAGAAGGTATAAGTTAAACTATAAGAAAATAAATATTTTTAATCTTGCTTTGACTATGATATTTTACTGCTATATATACATATGCTATATATACTGCTATATATACTGCTATATATACTGCTATATATATATATATATATATATATATATATATATATATATATATATATATATATATATATATATATATACTGCTATATATATATATATATATATATATATATATATATTTATATATATATATATATATATATATATATATACTGCTATATGTATATATATACTGCTATATATATATATATATATATATATATATATATATATATATATATATATATATATATATATATATATATATATATATATATGTATATATATATGTATATATATATATGTATATATATACATATATATATATATATATATATATATATATATATATATATATATATATATATATATATATATATATATGTATATATATGTATATATATATATATACATATATATATGCTATTTTTTTTGTCCATATGGCTCATAGATTATATCCTCTTGGAGATACGGTCTTAAACATCCTCATGTAACTTAATGTCCATATCATGATATGGGGGCCAAGCTTGAATGGCTAAGTCAAGATGTGACTGGACATACATTATATAAAGTGTGCGCCACAAAGTTAAGTTTTTGCAATGAAAAGCATGTTAAAAACTGCTTTTTTAATTTTTTTTGCTTTGACTTACTGAATTTTGTTGCTGAAAATATTAACCACTATGAAGAAACAATAATAAAAACTGTTCACAAATTATTTAAGCTATTATTATTATTTTCTATTAAAGTTTATTTTAATTTTCTGTTTTGTTATTTTGCTTTGTTTGTTTTTAAAACTTTTTTTAACAATGCATATAAATAAAATTTGCAAACGGCTGTGACCGATTTGTCTAAATTAAAATACTTTTACAAATCGAAAAACCGCACGTCTTTCCTGGAAAGGTTCAGAAATGAGTGGGGATGTGTTGCTATTGGACCATTGTCCTGTTCCTAACCTCAGTACTACTTATTCCAAAGCAGTGAGTGCCAGCAAATTTGTTTTTCTCTCGTGGAATTTCTTTGTTTAGATTATCTCTTTTTTTTAGAACCTCTTTTCTTAAGTAATGTTCTGGAATGGTTAAATCAAGTTGAATAAATTGGTAAAGTTTTTAGTATTATCCAAGTACTTGGCATGTTTTAAGATATCTACTCTTATTAAATTTCCGTTTACAATTTCAACAATTACAGGCACAGGTTTTTTGGGTGCCGGCTAATGTTTCATTAACAGTTGTGTCTCTTCATTCAGTTGTGTCTCTTAATTTCAATTAATATAAGCTTCTTGTTTGTTAAACATTCCATTTTTTGTGCCTGTTGCTGATTTTGCTCTTATTCAACACGTTCTTGAAATGGATACATTAGTATTTGGTGGTAGATTGCTCAAAATATTGCAAACAAGATTAAAATCATTTTGGTTTCTTAAAGAGTTAGAATTTTCTAAAAAACAAGGGGTTGCTACATAACCTACATAACCAAATTTGCTGAATTTGGCACAAATGTTTTATGATTTAAGTTAGGAAAAACTGACTTTTTTTCAAAAAATTTTATTTCTTTAAGATTTACATGCAACTTGAAGTTTGTTAGACTTTGACCAAAAATGAGGGAATGGGGAAAGTGCTGGAAATGTGTCCATTTACTATTACCCTTGTTAAATTTGGTACAAAGGAGTTTAAAACCTGCTAAATCTGAAAATTATAATCTTTTATCTCTCAAAACAATATAATTTAGCATATTAAATTAAATGCAATTTGTTATTAAACTAAATGCAATTATATTTGTTTTTAAATTAAATTAGAGTCAGTTGATTTAAAAAAACAGTAAGTGTGTGTAATGTGATTTAAAATTTTGAAAAATTGTTACAAAATACCGTTCACCATTTTGTAAATTTATAATTTTATTACTCTTTATTTTTGTTACATCATAGTTACATCATAGTTACGGCATTAGTTTAAACAATATTATCTAAACTTTTTTTTATTGATTATTTTATTGTAATAAAATAGTGATTATCTCATCAATAAAATAAGTAATGAAATGACAAATGTACATGATAATGTCTAATAAATATTACCTTGTTAAGTTATATAACTAAATATATTTAGTTATGATCTACTTGCTCACAAATATTTGGTCAATAATAAATAATTAATAGAGAATTGACAAATATTTGCAGATAATTAGGCACTTAAATTGTATCTATCAAAACTAATAGCTATTTGTTCAAGGAGTATGTTCCTCATAAATACAACTTTATTTTTATTTTGGTCATATTATTTATGTTAGAGTGTACTTTACTCATTAGACACATTGTATTTAAGATTTCTTATATTTAAGTGTTTAGATTGCGATTCCTCATTATAGTTTTATATGGATAACTAAATCAATTGTTCCTTTTAAATGTTTATAAAACATCACACCATCATGATATATTAATTTTGAGATATGAGATTGATCAGAAAAGTTGCTGTAATCTATTTCTGACTCACAAAAAAGTGTGTAAAGGTAAATATTTATACATTTATATTTTAAAGGATAATAGCACTCTTAATAAGTTGTTTATAAGTTTTTTTGGTAATAGAATTTGTTTTTTGCTTTATAACAATAATATAATTATTGCTATAGTATTTAAGTAATATAATTACTTTTTTTTTTCAGCATCTCTATGCATGATTACAACACATGCTGTATTAGAAGCAGAAACAATAATTTTAAATCTTATACCTTGAAACAAGTTGTGACAAACCTGTCCAAGTAAAGTTTAAAACTACTTTTATATCCTCTTCGTGTGATATAAAAAGATTTGTTACCTTATATTGTTAGTGATATGTCTAATAAAGACTGTATGGTGCGGAAATGTGAAAGAAGTCTAGCAACTATGAATGCATTGGTTGAAAAACTTGAGGATTTATTTGGAGAGTTTGAAAATGACGATGAAGTAGATTTTGATTAGTGGACAACAACAGATAGGTCAAACTTAACACAATATAAAGAGCCAGTGTCGGAATACATTGAACTTGTATCTAAAAAACTGACAAAATTTGCAACACACTACTATTTAACAAAGAGTCAACTGTCATACCTGAGATCAAGAAAGGAAGATGTGAATGAGGTAACAGCATTATTTCTAGGTGAATTTTTAGAAAACTATAAATTTGTATTTAAATGTACAAATTACAAAGCTTTTTCAAACAAATTTACAATGTACACTTTGTCTTGTGATTATTTATTTCACTTTAAAGAAGTTATTTTCAAGCACAAATCATGTTCTATCGTTTCAAAAAATATAATGCATGGTGTATAAAATTGTTGAGGTCGCCAGCAATGATGTTAAAATAAATCTACCTCAAATAAAAAATATTGAATACCTTTTAGATGGGTGTGCAGATCAATATAAGAATTGCAAAAATATTTTAAATATTTTTATCCATCTTGAAGATATTGGTCTGGTATATGGAACTTTTTTGCAACTAGTCACAGTAAGCAACCTCGTGATGGGATAGGTGGTATAGTCAAACGTTTAACAACACTAGCTAGCTTGCAAAGAGATATGGGCAATCATAATATATCTCCACAAGCAGTTTACAAATATTGCAATAAAAAAATTGAAGGGATACATTTTATTTATATGTCATTAAAAGATTTAACTTTGGTAAGAAAGTTCCTAAGGAACGATTTACTGGTAGATACCATCAGTTTGTACCACTTGGCCATTAAAAAGTAAAAAAGTATGTAATTAATATACCTTTTATTATCTTTAGAGAACATAGTTTTTATTGATAAACTCAAATAATTTTTTTATTTGTGTGGAATCATTGTCAGAAATTTTATTTATTTAATTTGGACTCGCAGTTTTCTTTTAATGCCTTTAATAAAAAATGTTTCACAAAATAAGAAAAATGGAATAAATGCATACTATGTTGCTATTATGTATAGATACGCACAAAGCTATGCAGCGATGTTGAAGAATTTGCTTTAATTCATAACTTTGGAAACATCCAGGTAACAACTCTAAACTTAGTACCAGGTAAAATGCCTGCGTTTCCTAGCAAAAGTGGTGGATAGGAGCCATTGAAAATATTAATCTGAAAGTAAAAGATGTGCTTGTCAAATTTATGTGTCCAAATGGTCCTTTAAATGGCCACCAGTGGATAGCCAATGCTATTCCAGATGTCTGCATCATTCACAGATGTCCAAATGTCCACATTCCAGATGTGCACATCTTCACAAAGTTGAAGTACCGACTACAAAAACAGGACTTTGCTACTATTTAGCCAAAGACAACTTAAAAAAAATTATTTTACTAAAGATAGAATTTTTATATTTAAACTAATTTCAAGTTTACTTAGTCTGATATGTCTTATCCATACTTTTTTTAAATCTTTTGTTTTGTGTACAATTTATACATAATGTGAATGAAATGCATAAATAAAATCTTTAAAATTGACTATTTCTTTTTCAAAGGTTTTTTTTTATACCTTTTAATTTTGTTGTAAATAACAAGTAAAGATAAAAAAATAATAGTCACTAAATTGTTAATTTCTAATTTGATTGTTTGGTTTTTAAAATACCTTAAAATTTTGTGTCCATATTAAACCTCAATTCCTCAAGTAAAGCTTGGACAAGAATGGCGTTCGGTCGCACGCTGTAAGTGACCATGCTTATAATTTTTTTTCTTTACAATTTGACCACGATTTGACATTTTAAATAATTTAAATGCTATAAAAAAGTTGTTATGTTATAAATAATATTTAACCATTGATTTTTTCTAATAATATTAAACCATTGAGATTTTCATTGAGGTTTTATTTTATGAGAAGGCTTTAATTAAAATAAATTAACTATAGCAGTTGTTTCAAATTAATGCGTTTTGTATATATTAACAAATAATGTTATTTTGAAAAAAATTTTAATTTAAAGGCATTGATTACAGCATTTTGCATAACATTAATAAAGCTTTTCAAAAAATAAGTTTTTAAGTAATTTGTTTATGTTTAAGTTTTTTGAGTTTATTTTAGTGCTTATATATTATGTTTTTCGTAAGGATTTTTTTTTCTTTTTTCATATATATTTTTTATCTTCTTGATAAAATTTCTTTCTATCAGTGAGACTTTTTTTATAGCTATAATTGTCAATGCCCTTTTTTATTGTCATTATTAAGTGCATTCTATGGATCCTAAAATTAACTACATTGCCTTGTTTTGAGCGATACAAAACTAAAGTTTTTGGATTTAGCAGGTTTTATATACTTTTGATACTAAATTTTAGCATTGCAGCATTACTATAAGTACTTCACAAGGGTAATAGTAAATGGAAATATTTTCTGCACTTTTCCCTCTTCATTTTTTCGTCAAAGTTAAACTTCAAATTGCTTTAAATCCTAAACAGATAAGAATTTTATTGAAAAAAAAAAATTTACAGTCTTTCTTTTGAAGATTCTTTGTTTTGAAGATTCTTTCATTTGAAGATTCCTTATTTTGAAATTTTATATTTTGTAACAGATTTGTGTTTTTGTGTTTTTTTGAGAAATTTTTACTCTAATTTCTTTGTCTGTTTTTATTCATTTGAAATTTTGTAACTGCCATTAAACAGTTAGTTTTTTGTGCATTTAGTTTCCTTGATTTTACTATATTAATGAAAAGCGGAATTTCAGCATTTACTGGCATCTTTGCTTCCATCACTTTAATTATTTCGTTTAGAACATTTTTTTTTCTTTACTCTTTATCAAAAACCGCCTTAAAAGTCTTAAACATAATTTAACATTTAAAAGTCTTAAACATAGTTTAACAGCTTTTTACTTGGGTCAATTAGTGTAATTTCTGCTTTAGCACACAATTCAGTCATTATTTTCCAAAACTATCAAGATCCAACAAATTGAGTAACATTGCAGCAACTGCCATTGGTTGATCCCAACCAATGGCGATAGCAAACAATATTATTTCCCTGATAGTGGGAGGGCTATCACCCTAAATAACAGTGGATTACCTCCCAGTTGTAAAATATTAGGTATATATCTTATTACACAGGGACTAAAAAGTTCCTGTATGAGTTTTTTTCTGTGTGTATATATATAGTTATATATACACACATATATATATATATATTATATATATATATATATATATATATAATTTATATATAATTTATATAATTATATATATATATATATATATATATATATATATATATATATATATATATATATATATATATATATATATATATATATATATATAATTTATATATAATTTATATAATTATATATATATATATATATATATATATATATATATATATATATATATATATATATATATATATATATATATATATATGTATATACGGTGTCTATTTTCTCCTAGAATGTACCAGAACGGCATTCCGGCACCTTTTTTTTTGATAAATTTAATTTTTTTTTTATTATTTAGACTTTTTTTTTCTGTAATATTATATAATGAAATTAAATCATTTTCTAAATATATTTAAAATTCTTTAAATTAAAAATACAAATAAGTAAGATTAAGTAAAACATTTTTTGCAGATTTGAAAACATTACAGCGCTGCATTTCAGAATCTATTGATTCTTAGTCGTTAAGTAGAAACTAAATTTGCTTGAGAAGAATTAATTTTGTTCAAATACCTTAATGTTAACTGGAACTCTTTCTATGATTTTCTTTTTGATGGCCCTTGGGTAGTAATCTTTCATCTTCCTGCTGACAAATGTGCTTCTTATGTAACTTCTTTGAATCAGGCTGGCATGGAACCTTTTATTCCCTTTTCTACAAGTCCAGGTCAAGCCTCACTCTTCTCCATGTTTCTTATTGTCCCCATTAATTTTATATCTATCGCCAAAACAATTCTACAGAAAATGTCTGTTTACTGATGCTAGAAACCATCATAAAAAGATTTTGTATAACATAAAAGCTTGCTATTCTCAGGTCACAAAATATCCTATTTCATCTAAAATATAGGCTTCAGAGACTTCTGAAGAATCAGTGTCTATAATAAGTACCAATCTGTTATTCTTCCTCTCTTGCATGGTTTAGTTTTTTTGACCTCACCTAAAGACAGAGCTAAATTTTCTTGATTAGTGGAATCAAGAGATAAGATTTACAAAAAGTTTTTGCTAAGAACTTTTTATCTATCTCATCTCTTCATTTCACTAGTCACATTTTACCTGATATAGCCGACAAACAGGTTGATCCATTGCTTGACATTTGTATCACTCCAGCTTCTGTATCTAAAGTGTTTTCCTGCTTAGACTCTACAGCTTTTGGCCCAGACAACATATCTGTTATAGCGTTGTAGAAGTGTTCTCTGAAGCTGTTGTCTATACTTTCAGAACTATTTAACAAGTGCTTATCAGAGTCTTGTTTTCTAGCCTGCTGTAAAGCAGCATTTGCTATCCCTATTTCAAAAATTCTGCAGAGTTATCTGACTTGTCTAACTACCGTCTTATCAGTCTTCTTCCAATTATTAGCAAGTGATTCTTTATCTCTATAAATCTTAAATCTGTCCTTGTATGGAATACTGTTGCCATATCTGGTGTAGATCTTTGAATGATGCCCATTCTATTTTAGACAAGGTGCAAAAATACATTGTAAACATAGCTAGCCAACCTACAGCCATTGTTACATCATTGTAATGTTGCTTCTCTTTCTCTTTTCTATCAATACTATAATGGGTGCTGTTCTAAAGAGGTAGTGTCTCTTTTGCCATCTACTGAAATTCATTCTTGTGTTACTGATCATTAAATAAAGTCTTATTCTTTTACTTTGACTGTTCCTAAGTGGTCCAAAAACTTCAATTTGTCTAATTTTTTTCCTCCGACATCAGTTCTTTGGAATTTGTTCTTTTTATCTTGTTTTCCTGATTCGTATAATTTGCAATCTTTTAAGTTGTTTGTTAATCATTACCTTGCTTTAAAAACTTCATCTTTTCTCTTCAAGTAACTTCCAACTTTAATAGTAGTTGCTTGCAGCCTGTTGAAGTAAAGATGTTTAAAAAATAATAACAATTTAATAAATAAATGGAAAATTGTAATTTTTTGATTTTAGCAGTTTTATTTCTGTCTTGTGGATCAGCTTTCTAGTTGCTTAAATAGTTTAAAATTAAATATTTTTTTTAAATCAAAATTAAATACATTTTTTAAATCTAAATTAAATTACTTCTTTTATCTAACCGCTTATAGAATAATTTAAGTTTTAAAAATGATAAAAAGTCACCTAAGCATGTTAAAGAGCAGCTTACTGCTTACACAAAGTCGCTTAAGGCGTACATAAACCGGTCGACGCATAACGTACATAAACCGGTTGACGCATAAAACAAGACCTGTATATATATATATATATATATATATATATATATATATATATATATATATATATTGGGTGGACACGGAAAAATCCGGTCAACTTTAAATGAAGATTTCTCTAAAACCATAAATGCTTTTTATTTCAATTTTTTTATTATTAAATGTGTTTACATAAATTAGAGTTTCAACTTAATTTTAAGGGGCTTGATGGGTTGCTTGGCAAGAAATCAAACTTTATAGCGGGTTGATGCCATCATTTTACAGATTTTTTCTTTTTTCACCATATTGGTGGCATTAATCCACTTTTTTTGGAAGTCCTTTTTATTATTTGTTAGTCCACCTGTCTTACGAAGAACTCCTTTAACTATTGCCCAAAAATCTTCAATCTTGCGCTTTTCAGGACGATTTGAAGGGTTCGCATCTTTGGAAACAATTTTCACATTATTATCTTTGCATCACTGTAAAACTTTTTTATAATAGTGAGAGGCAGCAAGATCAGGCCAAAAGAGACATCGGTATTTGTGTTTTTTTATAAAAGGCAAAAGTCTTTTTTGGAGGCATTCTTTGATGTAGAGATTAGCAGTAAAGGTCTTTTTAGTGACGAAACAAGAGGACTGCATACCACATCTACAAATTGCTTGCCACACAAGGAACTTGGATGCAAATTTTTCTCGTCAAATATATTTAAATTGATCATCGACAGGTTTATCTTTGTTTTCATAGTAAAACTGTTGACCAGGAAATTGTGAAAAATCCGCCTTGCAATACGTTTTGTTGTCTTCAATTATGCACATATTTTTATCCGCCATTATTTTAACCAACTTCTTTGCGCGTCGAATTCCTTTAATTTCACAATTTAAGCTTCTCTTAGGTGTATTTTTTTTATGAAATGCTTTAATTCCAGCATTTTTAAGTACTTTTTTGATAAAAGAACGAGAAGTCTTAAATTTTCTTGCTAGATCTCGCTGTGACTGATTTGGATTTCTTGCTATTGAACGTAAAATCGACTTTACCTTTTTGGATTTATGGAAAGTTTTTTTTCTTCCACTTCCAAGTTTTCTTTCGAAGCTTTGAGTAGTCTTGAACTTGTTTATAATATCTATGACTGTAGATTTTAGGACATTTGTGCGTTTAGCAATCAAGCAATAGGAAGTCGGTGGATTTTTGCAAAAAAAATTCACAACCTTTTTACGCACCTCAACTTGTTTCCAAAACATTTTGCAAATCATTAATTTGTAAACAAAAATTTATCAACACCATTTAAGATAAGGAAGTAAGGTTTAATTAAAAAAAAAATTAAATAAAAAGCATTTGTGGTTTTGGAGAAATCTCAATTTAAAGATGACCGGTTTTTTCTGTGTCCACCCGATATATATATATATATATATATATATATATATATATATATATATATATATATATATATATATATATATATATATATATATATATATATATATATATATATATATATATATATATATATATATATATATATATATATATATGTATATATATATATATATATATATATATATATATATATATATATATATATATATATATATATATATATATATATATATATATATAAATTAATAAAATATATATATATATATATAAATTAATAAAATATATATATATATATATATATATATATATATATATATATATATATATATATATATATATATATATATGTATTTGAATGCAGCATTAATACACACTGATAATGTAATGCAGCATTAATACAAACTGAAATGGCTAGCTGTTAGGGCTTCAGTGCATACATTGACTGACGTGCCACTTTATAGGCTGAGGATTTGTTTTGTTTTTTTTGTTTGTTTTTTTTGTTTTTTTTTTTTGAAAATTTAAAATGCACAAAATATATTAGGAAATTGCATCCTTAGATATAGAATAAAGTATATTTCTTCACAAAAATATTACACTTCAAAATGTTGCAATTTCATAATTTTAATTAAAAAATTTATGTATCTATTAATGTGTAAGTATTATTACAACAAATTAGAACTGAGTATTCACTTTAATATTGAAAATAAACATGTGGTATTATTGGCTGATTACCGTCTGACATCATTGACCAGAGTACCACTTTTATGTTAAACAATTTTGTTTATTTATATTATAAACATTGCTTATTTTCGATAATCAAAAAATATATTGCACATATAAACAAACAAATATAACAATCTTTTTTGTTAATTATTTTAAACAAATATGAATATAGTTGATTCTTACTTGATAAATGATAACAAATATTGGTCAAAAGTCAAACTCTAATAATAGTGAATAGTGTAAATAAGTGTGAATGGCTCAAAACAACAGTAAATGGATTATGGTTCACAAAATATGCAATTCATGAACTCAGAAATGATGGATCTATATCCTGACAATGGTTCCTAAATGGCTTAATTGAATATTAGTTGAGCCAATGTTGAGAAATGAATTGGTTTTACAGGCTGCTGGCATTATTTGACTGCTTTACCTAATATTATCTTAATATAACATGCACATATACACACACACATCAGAAATTAGGAAAAATGATAACCCTATATTATCTGCTGTATATATACCTCACACCAGACACACACACACACACACACACACACACACACACACACACACACACACACACACACACACACACACACACACACACACATATATATATATATATATATATATATATATATATATATATATATATATATATATATATATATATATATGCCCTCAGAATTAGGGCTGTTGACTTATTTGCGACCTGAAAGTGTCTGAGGTCAACAATTTTTTGTTAACCTTATGCTTTATTTAAATTTTAAATAAAATAACTAAAATAAAAGTGGCAAAACAAACATTTTATTTAGAATTTAAATAAAATTGTTAAAAGAAAAAAAAAAAAGAAAACCTTTTATTTAAATTTTGAATAAAATAAAATTTAGAATTTGTTACATGATATTAATGATATCTTATTTCTGAAAATAATATTTTTGCCTATAGATCCATATTCTTATGAAAGCGACAGTCATGTAAAATACTGGTTAAAACAGCTTCGTGCCGATTTTTCTCATTCCCGTGCAAGTAACGCCAGCTCTTCAACAAAAAGTGAAAATGATTTATATCTGTTGTCTCCAGAAGGTAATTTATAGTTTAAAATCTCAGCTCAGAATTATTAAAAAGTATTGCATTTTGTTATATGCTAAGAGCTTAGTGCTAAATATCAAAAAATATTCAAAATACAATTAAAAAAAGTGTATTTGGTTTTATTAGCCTAACTTGTTTTTAACAATCATAAGAATAAATCTTTGTGAAGGTTTTGGTTTTAAAAAGTTAGCATCTTAATGAATTATATATTATTTGTCCATGCAAGTATATATTTATATCGAATTAATAAAAGTTTCTTTACTTATTTCAACTTCTTTATTCTGTGATGAAATTGCAATAATTCTGGATGAAAATAGAAAAAAGGTGTAGCATTAGACATTTTTTCAATTTTCAAATGTTTTAATGTTCAACACATATTGCAAAACTTGTATTTGTCAATTCTGTTTTTCAGCTTTGAATGCTAAGAGACTTTTAATATGAAAGACTTTCCAAATGCAACATTTAAATTAGGAATTTTTTTTTTTTTTTTTTTACTATCTTTATTTCTGACAACAAGGCTGCAAGCTATCACTATTAGAGTTGGAAGTTACTGGAAGAGAAAAGATGAGTTTTGTAGAGCAAGATAACGATTGACAGACAACTTAAAAGATTGCAAATTATATGAATCAGAAAAGCAAGATGAAGGAATTCTAAAGAACTGATGTTTAAAAAAAACTAGATAAATAAGAATATTTGCAGCACTGAACAGTCACTGTAAAATGATGAGACTTATTAGAATGACACGAGAATGAATTTTATTTTTTAAGTTAATGTAATTAGGGAAATGTAAAATACATAACATTTTATAAAAGCATGCTACAATGCTTCGATAATTGAAATCAGTCTGTCTTAAATTGAAAAAAAAATCTATGTTTGTTATACCTTTTTTTTTTTTTTCTTTAATACCATATCCATAACTTTTCGTATTTTTATAAATGTTACAGATATTTTATATTACCTTACAAAATGTTTTCATCTATTAATTCCTGCAACAGTTCCTGCATACTTGACAAATATTGATAAATTGTGATTGAAATATTGATAGACATATAGAATAGTATTTAAAAATAAACTTTATTTAAAAAAGTGTGTAATAATAAAACTATTAAATTATTTAAAAAAATAATTTGTGCAATTCGTTGCATCCACAAAATAATTTGTGCAATTCGTTGCATCCACAAAATAATTTGTGCAATTTGTTGCATCCACAAAATAATTTGTGCAATTCGTTGCATCCACAAAATAGTTTGTGCAATTCGTTGCATCCACAAAATAATTTGTGCAATTCTTTGCATCCACAAAAGTAACTTAATCTCTACATCAAGTTGAAAGTGAAAAAAGTTTAAAAATCAAATGGGAATCAAAATACCATTCTATTTAATCATGGTTATATTAAGAGAAATATATAAAAAACTGAGAACCTTAAAAAGTGTGAATTTAGCTGACAATACTGAGCAATTATATGCTGTTATTAAAGAAAACCCTTATGTAAAAAGTATTACAATTGAAGCCCCAACATCAAATATAGCTATAAAGTATAGCTTTTTTTCTTAAGATTGGAATTTAAAGCAAAAAAAATGCTTTTTTTTTTTGCTTTAAATTCAAAACAAAACAAAAAATAGACTCGACTTTTAACTTTGGTTTCTTTTTCACCCCCTACTTAAACAGTTTAATTTCATGCCTTTAGCTTCAATTCAAATTTTCATAGCTTATACCATCTTTAACTATTTCCTTTTTTACTTACTTATATGTTGTTTTTTTTTACCTTGGCAACATCTTCTTTTTATTTAAGAGTTTGCCATAAAAATCCTAGTTTTACTGATCACCTTAACACTTTATAAAAAGTAAAATAATGATCTGTAATACTTGTATAAAAATCATGTGATCAAAAAATAATGCTTATAAAAAAATTGAAAGAATTGAAAAAAACATGTATAAAACATTATTTTTAAAATTATCCTGACTGTAAAAACTATTCTGATTGTTAAAAGTATGTTGCCCTACTGAAATCTAAAATATATATATATATATATATATATATATATATATATATATATATATATATATATATATATATATTAGGGTGTATCGAAAAACAACTTTTTTTGAATTTGAAATTGTAATAGAGCGGAAAAGTTGCATAATGGTATAAATAGTAATTGTGCCAAATTATTTTGTATTTTTTTTGTCTTCAGTTCGCGCTAGGGTTTTATTTTTTGTAGAAAAACACGTTTTCTGATCCTTTTTATAAAATAAAAATAAAAAATTCTATGCATATATTAGAGTTGTAATAGAGTTTAAACATTAAACAATGACTAAGTTAAAAATGGTTACAATTTTTAAGAAATTATTTTAATGTCTTCAGTTGACGCTAGTGTGCTGAGTTTTGACGAAAAAACACTGTTTCATTAGTTTCTGGAAAACAAGCTTAGCAGTCCATAATGTACAATTAAAGTTTTAATAGAGTGGAAAATGATTTTGAAAAATGTTTAAAGTTGAGCTGTAATAAAGTTCAACTATCTGATTCATTTGTCTCTGTCTCAAACTGTCTTTTTGTGTTGAATATAGGCATTTTTTTCCGCGATGCAAGTCTTGCACGAATGAAGCCGTCTCTACTAGCCAAACCGCAAACTTGATCTGAAGCTTCGGTTACAAGTTTGATGCATCTCTCTACTCCTTGAGTATGGCATGGAAAATGATGCACATCTGGAAGATTACCATTTGTTAACATTTCAATTAGATTTTCATCTGAAATGTGAGTGGTAATCGGAAGTTCACTTAGTTCACATTTAATCCAATCAATAAGGTCTATATAGTCTGTTGCTTCAAAGTTGATATCTGGTATAGAGAACTTTCGAACTTTGTTTGTTTTGATTGATCTTGCTTTCATTATTTGTTTTAATGCAAATTTTCTCACATTTGGACGAGTATCAGATATCATAGCCAGAAGCAAATTTTCTGGATGTGCGAAAAAAGCATTCCTTTGTATAACTGGATCAATGATACTTTTTATTTCACTACTGGCATACCTGGATAAATTAATGGTTAGCCATAAATGTCTAGCACCTTCCGTGCATGAGGGATCATATCTTATATTGAACCACATTTGGCAGTAAACTCTAATAACAAACTCAACTATTTCTCTCAGCTTGTGTCGCGGTTTGCTACATCCAACATAATACCTCAATATTCTGTTTGCAGTGTTCACCCACCTGGCATGGTTAAGTTTTCCAGGATTTCGGTTAGCCAAAGCGTTTGAACAATAACCTGTAGATATTGCTTTGCAAATATCAAGTAAGTATTTTTGATCAGAACTAAGAGATTTTTTGTCTATTTTTGGCTATGTGACACTGACAGGAATGTAGTTGACAATTGGCAAGGTATCACACAATTTAATTTCTCTTCTGATCAGTCCAGACCACTTGTTAGGTCCTGATGTAGGTCCATCTAGGTTTTGAGTTAGATGCCGTAGAGGTAGTTCATTAGCATGTATTTAACAAATAAACCAGTGGACAGGTCTTTTGAGTTCTAATTCGAACAAAGCAATAACACCATTACAAAATCCGATATTGACAACTGTTCCGTCACAACCTATGGTAACTAATTTGGATGTATCAATGTTGTTCTGAGTTTAAAAAAAATTTATACTTGTCTTAATGCTGTATCCATGTCCTGATGCAGTCTCTACATGCCTTAGATACTTTGACCCTGGTTCTTGTACTAAAACTACATGTTCTTCTTTGATAGTTTTTTCGTGTATTTTTTCCCTTGTTTGTATCAATAACAAATGTTGTATCTTTTCTTCCATCAAAATATAAACCTTCTAACATTTGAATATTGCATGTAAAATGTTGCATTTTAAGTCTGTTTTTCTTTCGTTCTCTTTGAATCTTTTTTTTATCAATTACTTTAGATTGGTCTCCTTTTGAAATTATGTTTATGTCTTCCAGCACAGCACATGCTATAAATGCACCACCTCTGCTTGAAACACCAACTCTATCGCAGGCTTGTGCTAAGGATAGTAACGGTGATCTCATTTGTTCAGTTTTATCTTTTCTGTTTCTTTTTTGTTTGTGGCCTTCAGCTGTGCCTAAATAATCACCATCTGATTCTGAGTCAGTATTTCAAATCACAGTGTCATCAGAGTCAGATTTTTGAGATATAGAATAGAAACTTGAATTGTGAATGCAGCTTGATAATGTTGATTGAGCTTCAATACCTGTAATAGCACAAGGCTGTTTTGATGAGTTAGACGGCAAGGGGCTATTTACTCTGTTTTTTCTTGCTTTTTTTTGCCATAATCTTAAAGTAGCTTGAATATCGAGTCCTTCCATATACATAATCCTCATAAATCTCTGATCGCTAAGAAACTCATGTTCTTTCTCTGGTACCTTCTTTGCTTTTTCACAGATGCATTTAGAAAAATCAAGGCAATTGCATGCTGCAACATCAAATAAAGTATTTTCTGCATGCTTTTGAAATGTTATTATTTTCGACTTCAATTTGTTTGTATGTTTCGTTTTGTTAACAGACTTCATAATATTTCTATACTTTTGATTGTAATCAAGAAACATTTTTACAATGCGTTTATGAGACACAGTAGGTATCGATGCTTTTCCCCACAAATTTTCTATTTTGTGCGCCAAATTTTCAGATATTTCTTTCAAAGAAGGTGTTTTCCGCCAGTTTTCATTCTCATTTTCTGCATTGACAAAAGATAACTTAGCATTACATGTTTGTATATTGGCAAGACATTTGCTCGTAAGTCTGCTGGTGAACCAAAGATAGGACAAGTAGACTTTTTTCTTGTTGTCACTGCAGCGGAAGACATTTTTGCTGATTTCAATTTATTTTATTAATAAACAGATGTAAATCAGAACTAATAAATTATAACCTGTGCTTTTAGCTAATTTTCTAATAATGCTGATGGTGATGGTAATAAATGACGTAATTAGTGACATTTTACATACATACTAATGTCATTTTAAAATCAC